TTAAATTTATTATTTAAAGTTTTGTGTTGCTTATTTTTATGTTTAGGGGGCACGTACAGTTTTAGAAATAAATTACAATGAGTTAGAATATAAAAGTTGTGATACATAAATGGTTGGCGCTTTGGAAGCTAAATGTGCCTGTTGCGTTGCAAGATGAGGGACTGAAGTTCTTTCTAGCTCCAAATTCTTGTTTCTTTGCCTATGTGGTGCCTTTGTTTTTGCTTGGTGAGCCTGTACTTTGCTGATTTTGTTATCTGCTGTAATGGCTCCGACACTGATGTGAAAATATGCTTGGAATCAACCCCACACTTTGAGTTTTTAAAAATCCACGTAGTGTACTCCTCCCGCTCAAGTCGACTTTTCCCCTTTGTGACATGAATGAAAGAATGAGAGCCCTGGAGTGGGAACTGAAACACCCAGTGCTGACTGGCTCAGCCTCTGCCTGGGTAGGGTGTGGAGATGCATTTTGAATCCTATAAACAACACACAGCTTCACTTAGGAAGAATTCAGGAGCCTTAAGGAAGGTTTTGAAGCAGAGATGATATCAGGAAGTAATGCTGGTAGCTGTGAAGGATGTGTTGGAGATGAGAGATCACATTAGAGACCAAGTAGAACAGCAGGATGGAGAGGAGACTAATGTGAAAGAAATTTGAGAAAAAAGTCCTAGTATCAAGTATTCTATTTTCTTTTGCACAAAGATCCTATAATAATTAATTAAGTCAAACTATGCTTACTAATGTTTTATTGTAACTTCTAACTTTTCAATCATTTTTCAGAGTGTATTAAATTTTCACCCAGTAATCTTGGGTCTCTCAAATTTCAATTTCCCAGTAAGTATACATTCTACTAGCATGCCTTTGAAAATCATGGCTTCTAAACATAATGTCTTCTGACTGTAAGTGAGAAAAAAATTGGGAGTAGTATTTTCTATGAAAAGAATAATGATTTCTTTTGTACAGGAGAGGTCTGCTGAAATCAGTACTCTTTCTATGCAGGATTCTCATTGTCTTCCAGAAGTCTTGAAAACTGTGAGCGCGTTAGATAGATATCATGGCCTTGGGGGAACAGAGGTTATATTTGTGAGGAGTTTATTCTTTCATGGACTACTGTTCTCTGATACTTTTTGGGCAGAGGTGATTTCTATCGCTTTTGATTGTATCATCACTTGTGGAAACAGAAAGTAGACTAGTCCGAATTATTTCTGTTTGTATCAGTTGGGAAGCTGGCATTCTGAAAGACTGTGTAACTTGGCTAAAGTTAAGGCAGCTGTCAGGCAGGGTAAGAGTTCAGTCTCAGTCTTTTTGCTGATTTCTACTGTGACAGCACTTGGCTGAAGTAGCCAACTTCAGGCACTTTTTGGAACAGAAAGGACTGGCTATGCCAAGAATAAAATTTTCCTGATAATTTTATCAACTGCTTTCTTGATATTGACAATTATATATCATTTAAATTTGTGTACTGAAAGTTTTTAATGTAATATATAAATTTTACCTTTAAAAGTTGTTAAAATTCTGGGAGAATTTGAAACTTGAACATAAGCCCAGGGCTACTCTCATGTACCAGAAATATGGAACTAGACCAAGAACTTTAACATATCTTGCTTACATATCTTTCTGATTACAGTAAATTCACTACATATGAATGAGTTATATTCCGAGAGCACATTCCTAAGTTTAATTTGTTCGTAAGTCCAACAAAGTCAGCCTAGTTACCCAACTAACACAATTGGCTATATAATACAGTACTGTAATAGATTTATAATACTTTCACACAAACAATAAATAACAAATGCAAAAAATAAAATATTTCAAATCTTACATTACAATACCTTGAAAAATACAGTAGTACAGTACAACAGATGGTATCAAGTGAACAGACAAGAAGACTTACTGACTGGAGGGGGTACAGTAAAGAACACAAAAGCACAACCACTCATAGGGAATGTACGCACATGACAGTGTATGCCAGACACGTGAAGTAATTTAAGAGATTGGACATGCGATTTGAAAGTTTGCAATTTGAAGGTTCATATGTAGGGTACTTACTGTATTTTTTAAAAATTTATTGAGCCCATACCCACCTTTAGGTGAGGGACTGGTGAGGAGTGTCATCTGCTAGGGCAGGTTTTTGAGCTCTCTGGTACAGTCCTCACAGCGGCTCAGTCTCTGCTTCCTTGGTAGCTCCTTTGAGCCTCAGGGCTTTCAGGATGGTCTCTCTCTCTACCCTCTTCCATCTGGCTCACTTATGATTGTAGTAAAATAATTGAGTAGCTATTTGTTTAGTCTGTGTCTGTATCTCCAGACTATAAATTCCATGAGGTAGGGATAGCATCTATTGAGGGACAGCATTGATTTTGTTTACCTTGTTGGTTCTCCAATAATTGAAGATTATTCACATCGATGCTAGTTTTGCTATTATGAGTTTACTAGTTGTACAAGTTTAGATGAGTCACATAACTGTCTCAGTTGCCTAATCCATAAGTGGAGAAAATCTCATGGGGTTGTTATGAGCTTTAAATAAGTTCATTGATGTAAAGCACTTAGAAGAATGGTTAAATATGGTTATATTGTGATGAACACTGGCATCCATGATGGTTATAATACAGAAGTGTATTAAACTACTTCAAACTCACATCAGCTACTTATTAGGGACTATGGGTCCTCACACTGGACTTGTTTTGTCTTATCTACTAAGGAGGAAATATTATAGCACGTTCCACCTGATTTGTCTTTTGTAATTTGTCTTAGTCAGTTTAAGCTTAAACTGATTTTTTCTGGGTTATTTTTAGAGTCAAATTACTTAATGCTGAAAAAATAGTCTTGCTTAGTTGTTGATCTAATGAAAAAGCAGATGAATTAGAAGAAATTATTGCTGTCCCAGGACCAGATCACAAAAGCCTCTAAATTTTTGTTCTGGCCTGAAAGTTGTTCATTTTTTACATTCTCTGAAATTCAACCTTATTCAGCAAATAGACAAGTTTAAAAAAAAAAAAACTACGGTCCTTCACATTTGTAATGCATATTTTGAGATATGTAAACTCTAACCTTGAAAATCCTTTTATGCTAATTGATCATCATGGATAGCAAGACTCACAGTAATAAAAGTCTATAGAGTATAAATTCTCATTTTTATTTTTTTATTTTTCTCATTTCTATTTGTTAGGAGTCTTAGAACTTCTTTGTTTCTTTTTTTGTTGTGAACAAAGGGAACAAAATCAGTGACTCACATAGTTTCCTTATTGTAAAGCAAATCTGTACAAGAGGAAGTTTATTCTAATAATATCTCATTTTTGAAAAAACAAGCCATGATTTTAAACATTTCTGTAAATGTCTGTGTGTGGAGAATAAGATTTAAGAATACCTAGTTATGTGGTGTGTGCAGTGGGGCTTCATGACAGGGAAAGGGGAGTAGAGGGGAGGAAACTGTTCTTCTTCTGGAGCGGACACTTTTGATTCTTACAGTGTTTTTCCTCTCCAGTAACATCTTAGAGATGTCACACAAGGCAAAGTCATAAAAAAGGTCTTTCTAAACAAAATGTTTCCTTTCCTAATGAGATTCTGTTTTGCTGCTTTATTGTCAGTGTGCTGGGAATTTTGAAATGTTCTCTGTGTGTTTTTGTGATTTTGACCTAATAATCTCATTTGGATTTAGCAGGCTCAGCAGCTGTTGTTTTTATCGAAAATTGCTAAGTCGTATTATGGTCCAAAGTTGACCCTTTTTCCTGTGTTGGCCTAGATTGTTCAGCATTTTAAACAATTTAAGCCTTTTCTCCAACTCTTATAATTTTTATTTACTTATAAGAAACTTAAAATAATGTCAATAGTGTCTCCAAGGGTACTTTAGATGGGCTGAGCCTTTTTGCATGCACAGTACAGTGATGAAGCTTGCAGTATGGCTTCTAGAACACTACTTTCTTTAAAAATCCCCTTTTCTATTGGAGGAAGAAGAGACCACAGTTTCATCACATTTAAGTAGTACTTGGTGTAATGTGATAGATGTTTGCAGTTTGATATTAATGATTATTCTTTGGCAAGGCAGAATGCAGAGTTGAAAAGTCAGAGACTTTGAGAATGTCCTAGGAGAGCATAAACTTGGAGTTCAAACCATTTTATTGGATAATTTAGTAGTTTTATTTGAAGAGGGAGTTAGATATTAAGTTTTACCTTTTCTTTTAAATATTTAATGTAACAGGGATTTTCCTTACATAGCTGAAAACATGTATTGTGTTTTTGGAATCCCTTTTTAGGGGTCTCTCAATTTCCCTGTTTTAATTATAAGGCAGTGGTTTTTGAGGTTTAAGAAAGACACTAGGTATGATTTTACATTCCTCCCAGGGTTAGCTGCTGATTCTTAATCCCATCTAAGTTCTATACTATTGCATTCCCTTTTTTTCCTGTTGGGAGTTTAAATATATGCTCCTTATACATTCAGGATTCAAAGCAATGGGTTTCCTAATAATAGGACCAAACATTTCTGTATTTACAGGTCAAGATGTTCATCAACAATGTGCTTTATCAACTATAAAATCATCTTTTTACATATAATCACATTTGATTCTTGCCATTTATTCAGGGAGAGAGGAAAAATGGCAGCAGTAAATTCCTGTTTTATGAGTGGGCTCATAAAAGTCACATAATATACCCAAAATAACATGTACACCAAAGGTCAGGACAAGAACCCAGGCCATTTACCTCCACATTCAGTGTCCCCCAACCCTGACATACTGTGTCTGCATGCCCTGTCCTATACCATTTGCTAAGACGTGACCACATAAGGAATTGGGTCAGCGTTATGTATAAAATTGTACCAAATCTTAATAACCTTTATGAAACCAAGTGGTTATCCTTTAACTATTTCCCTACTAAGCACAAATTATTGCACTATATGTACACTGATAGAAGTTTCCACTTTCCAGGCCAATGGCACAGTAAGTGTCCAACTTAAGATGTGAGAACAACAGGACAACAGTAAGACAGATGTCCGAAAGAGGCATATGACTCACTGACAACAAGTTCAATGGAAGCAGCGTAGGAGGTGAGCCTTGCACAAGGGGGAGATAAGATGTGGAAAAAGGCAGAGGAGGTGGAAGGGAAATGTTTGAGAAGAGATGCGTAGGAGAGAATATACGCTGTACAGTACTGAAATCATTTTGGATGGGATGACACATCCAGAGTTTGCTTCAAAACAAACCTGGACATGGGTGTGATATGCTTTGATCATTGTTGGAGCTGGGTGATGGGTATATGGCAGATCCTTATAATATTATTTCTACTTTTATATGCATTAGGAAGTTTTCATAATAAAAAAATTTTTAAATAAAAAATTTGTACCATTTAATTTTTAAGATGTCATATTAAGAGGTTTTTTGATAGTGGGTAGACTAGTCTATCTGGAATAGAGGGTATGTTCAAAGGCACAGTGGGAAATATTGGAAAGGCAATCTGGGACCAAATTTGGTGATGGTGGGGAGGGGCCAAATGTACATTGTAGAGTCTGAGTGAGTACTGGTAGACACTAGCCCTTGATTGGACTTGAGTTTTACTTGACAAGGTGGAATCTAGTGTGGCTTCTCATCAAGGATGGCAGTAACCCTGTTTTACTTCTGTTTAGGCACTGCCACATCTAATCTGCCATATTCTGATCTGGAAGGCACATTTAAAGAGGGCTTTTTGCAAACCAAGTTTCAATGGTGGGATATATCAGGCATAGAAGAGTATCTCACATCTTCTTAGCAATCTTCTGTCTCTCAAAATGTCCATCTAGTTATGGTTGTTTACTAGAAATTGACATATTTTCCCTTATGCCGAGTTCCTCTCCTCCATTTCAAACTTTTTCTCTTGGGAGCCTGAGAATGGGCAATAAAAGCAAAATAAACACATCGCATGACTCCCAAGTGATATGAATGTACATATTCACGATGGTGTCAGATTTAACTTCCTAGAAACAGACTTTAACAGCCCACTGAGCTATATACAGAAAGTAGCGCTTGGTGTAGCTTTCTGAGGTAAAGTTTCTTCTTCCTTCCTGCTTAAAATATTTCTCAACTACTAAGTAAAAAGGAGAAGAGATGTGTCAAAGAAATGTGGATAATTTATAATATTAAGGAATTGTTAATGATTTGAATGTGTTTCAGTGGTATACTAGAGCTGACACATGTAGGCTTGTGAAAGCCAAGTGTTATGTTCTTAGAAATTTCACAAACTAGTTTTTGAACACAGCCATTAAAAATTAAATGGTACAAACTAACAGTATTAAAAATAAAAGTAGCCAGGTGCGGTGGCTCATACCTGTAATCCCACCACTTTGGGAGGCAGAGATGAGAGGATTGCCTGAATTCAAGGGTTTGAGACCTGCCTGAGCAACATGGCAAGCCCTCATCTCTATGATAAATGAAAAAATTAGCTGCCTGTGGTTCCAGCTACTTGGAAGGCTAAGGAGGGAGGGTCATCTGAGCCCAGCAGGTCGAGGCTGCAGTGACCATGAGCATGCCACTGCACTCCAGCCTCGGCAATAGAGTGAGACTTCGATTCAAAAATAATAATAATAATAAATAAAAGTAATACTTAAAATGTATCACTTTCTAATTATTTTACTATAATTTGCTATTATTCTAATTATTTTACTATAATTTGCTATTATTCTAATTATTTTACTATAATTTGCTATTATTTATGCTCTTAAGGTTATTTGTGTCTAATGTGCCTGCAAAGTGAGAGTACTAAACAGTGATGTGATACACATCTCTTTCAGCTCCATATTCAATGACATCATGTTGGTAATTTGACATTGGCCATGGTGGGAATATTTATATCATGGAAAACAGCAAAAAACACAAATCAGGGACTTTTTTCCCCCCAAAGAACTGAAAAATATCTATGAGCATGCCACTGAGTATGATTATAATATTGTGGTCATCTCTCTGTTTCAGAGATAGCTACTGAAATAAGACAGATCAAATATGGCATCTAGAAGTTGTTTCAAGTAATCCAATGAGGGTGGGTATCCTGATTGTTGTATCAGAATGGTGGACAGATGGGCTTTGTTGTACTACTCTTTCAACTTTTGTGTATGTTTTGAAATTTTCCGTAATAAAAAGTTAAAACAGTAATTAAGGCATGTTACAATGAAAATAAATAAGTACCTATACCTAGTAGATATAGGTAGAAACCCAGTCTGGTACCTGTCTGTCCTTCAAACTTTGATGCCATCGTTCCTTTGATAAAATCTTGTTCTTAAATTTTGGCACTTTTATTTCATAAATGGTTCACATAGATCATTGAGTTTAAATATCTGCTTCTCATTAAAGAAATCAGTAAATCACTATGTACAGTTTCTTTTTTTTTTTTTTTTTTTTGAGTTGGAGTCTCACCCTGTCACCCAGGCTGGAGTGCAGTGGCACACTCACAACTACCCAAACATGGACCCACTGGGCTCAGGTGATCCTTCCAACTCAGCCTTCCAAGTAGCGGGAACTACAGGTGTACACTACCATGCCTGGCTAAGTTTTTGATTTATGATAGAAATGAGATCTCACCAAGTTGCCCAGGCTGTTCTTGAATTTGTGGGCCAAGACAATCCCCACAACTCGTCCTCCCAAAGTGCTGGGTTTATAAGCTTGAGCCATCGCGCCGGGCCTGTGCAGTTTCTTATGTTCCTCAAGACAAAGGAATCCAATAGAGCCCTCCATAGGACACTGAAAAGTTCTTTCTTCACAGTGGGGGGATGCATTTGTTGGATTGCAATTCTCTTTGCAAAACCAGTAGTATAAATAAGGAAAAATGAATCAAATTACTGTTCAAAAAGCTACTTGCAGCTACATGACAGCTGTGTACCCTTTAGATTTATTTTCAGTCTAGCTGATTTGAGTCATTGCCCAAAAAAGGAGTGCTGTCAAGAGAATTGTCTTCTATGCAAATGATGAGAGCCTTTTAAAATAGTGCCTTGCTGATACAATTGATATGTTTGGAATTATTGGCCTATGAATTAAATTAGTCCCAATCCAATGACTTAAAAAGTTACAACCTAGGTTATATACCAACTATGTTTCACAAAGTGCAATAGCATAATATTTTTTCTAATATATATTTAGACACCAAATGGAAAAGTTGAGCATAAATTACTTAGACTATACCTTTTGTTTCTTAGTTTGAAATTTTAATATCATTCTTAATATAAATTTGGTGTAAGGTAATAGTTTCTCTTTGGATTTGATTATGTAATAATTAATACTAGCTAAATCCAGTTGACCAGAAAAAAAAAAAGTTGAGTAATGAATGCAAATGGTCACTGTGATTATCTCATCAAACAGGATGATGAGGAAATTATTAGGTTTTATAATGGGGACAGAGAAAGACAATAAGAACCTTGAGGAGGAAAGTAGTGTATAATGTCTGTCTTGTATTTTAAGTTATGTGAGCCTCTGGTCTGTGTAGAAATTCAGGCTTAGACCTTTCTCTAAGTTAACCACACACACAAAAATCAAAACCCCAAACATTGAAAACAACAGATGTCAAAGTCAGGTTTGTTTTGACCCTCTCAGGTTTGTTTCAGCCCAGGTGCTGCAAACAGGAATTGAGATCAGAGAAACCAGAAGTCAGAACCGTGTGGGTGGGAGAAGAATCATTATAACTCCTCCTCATAAGACAAATGGACAGAGAAATCACCTGGAGAACCTGGGAGCCTTGGTTGACACTTGGCTATAGTTCTTCCCATGTTAATTCCTTTGTACCAATAACCTTCAGTGCCCCGCCAGGTCCCACCACAATGCACACCCTGAAATAATTTCTTTCTGGTATATAAAAAGAAGTCATAGTTCAAAATTAAGTTGGAGCATGGACATTGAAGCACAGTTACTAAGGAAAAGCACATGTTAGATTATTGAATTGAAATAATCACAGCACTGTGATTATTCATTCAAATATTTATTTACTCTTGGAGCTTACTGCCTAATGGGTGGAGACAGACAATAGACAAAATAAATAAGCAGTAAATACATTAAATGGAGATAAATTCTGTAGGGAAAAACAAATTCAGGACAATTTTTAAGAATTAAATTCCTCAAGAATATATTTTCTAACTGTATTAAAGCTAGCAAAGAAAGGAGATTGATAGTTATAAAAAATATAAAACATATGACATCTGATATTTCTTCATTTTCTATTAACCCTGTTGATATGCTAAATATAGTCACCATTTCTACAACCAGTAGTTTAGAGCACAAATTAAAGTTGAACTAGCTTGGGAGAGGTAGCAGCTTTTTGACAGTGAAGTAAGATGAAAAATATGGCCTTACATGTTTTGCTAGTGAGTTGGCAGTTCATGATTAGGAGCACCTGCAGTAGGAGAGGTAGGGAGTTATTTGAGCACCTGCAGTAGGGGAGGTAGGGAGTTATTTAAGAACAAAATGTGTTTGATTGCCTCCATTTCTCTTTATCTCCAATTGGACAGTCAAATAGAAGTTATTTAAGGAGGTGTTTTGTAGCTGTGTGCATCTCCCTATGTGTGTTTTCTAACATACAGACTTTATATCTCAGTGAACTCAGTTGTTTTCATAAAAAATTAAAATTTCCCAAGTCTAAATTGAAAGATTCTGAAAAGAAGGTATTAAATGGATCCCTTCATGTGGGAGAAGGAGTGAGGTTGTATTTAGTTCTTTATTTTAAATAACTTTTTTTTTTCCCAAATTACTAAATACAGGTCTTTAAATCCAACATTAGCCAGAATCTGTGGCAAAAATGAACAACCTAACGAACTGAGCACTGTATATTTCCAACTGCCTGCTAGACCTCACCACCTGGATGGCCCATAAGTACTGCAAACTCAGTGCTTTAAAAGTCACACTCACTGCCTTCCATTATCCCTGTGGCCAAAGTGAGGGTGGTCACTTGTCCTTGATTCCCAGCTCTCCTTACTATCTAGTGTGCTACCACATCCTTCTGATGCATACCTAAAGAGCCCTAGAGTCTATGTGATAGTTTATTTCTTTTTATCTCTTTTCCTCTTCACACTCAGTCACTTGTAAAACCGTCTTTCAT